TGGCTTTAAGGATATCCCTTGTAGCATCTCTTCCTACATTTGTCACAGAAAATGAACAATCCACCTGACAGATATAAAGCTGCAGTTAGTGAAGCCCACATAAATAGCAACTCCACCATGGTGGTCTTAGGTGAAATGGGAAAACTGTATGCCTTCAGGAAACTCAATCCCTTCCTAGTCAAAGCTAGAAGATAGGGTCCATACAATCATAGAGTTGGAAGAGAACCCAAGGGCCATCCAGTCCAACCTCCTGCCATGCAAGAACTCAAAATCAAAACATCCCTGACAGATGGCCATCCAGCCTCTGTTTAAAGACCTCCAACGAAGGAGACTCCGAGGGAGTGTGTTCCTCCTAATGTTGAGATGGAATCTCTTTTCCTATAGCTTGCATCCATTGTTCCAGGTCCTATTCTGTGGAGCAGCAGAAAACAAGCTTGCTCCCTCCTCAATATGACCCCCATTCAAATATTTAAACAGGGCTATCATATCACCTCTTAACCGTCTCTTCTCCAGTCTAAACATACCCAGTTCCCATGAAATTCCCATGAAATGGGAATTAATGTAATTATCTCTGAGATTACCTTTAGAATGACTTCAAGGGAAACAAGACTTTTTGTTGTTGTATGTTTAGAGAAACTTTTCACAAGAGATAGCCATGAACCTACAGCCTCTGCTTGCAAAATGACAATGAAGGACAATGAGCAATTAAATTTCCATTGGGAGGAACCTGTATTGGTCACTTAATTCTTCACAATGTGACCTGATGTACTTATCGTCAGCAGCAACAGGTATAAAACAGACTTTCCAGATTCCAGTCTAAATCTTGTAGATATCCATAATGTTTTCCACCTCCCATATTCTCCATTGTTCATATTCTCTTGCAATAATGCACCTGAACCAACAATATTATGTAAAACGTCATGTAGCTGAAAGTGAGACACCTTGAAAAGAGGAAGATTCCATCTCTCTGTAGCAATGCCTTAGATAACTGATTGTCCATTGCAAGAACTACAGGTTGGATGAAAACAAAATAACATTTATGATAATACATATTATCATATGTATATAATTTGATATATAAACATCCTTTGAAATTTGAACACACAGCCAAAGTCAAGTCATAGTATGAAAAGAAGAACCTACTAAGACAAATGGCCCCATGTCCCACCTTGATTCCCAATAATGGAAAGCCTACTATATCTTTAATTATTTATTAGTAATGCCAGGAAATGAGTTGTACTTGCTGGCTATAATGCTAAAAAATACCTGCAGCACTATGATTTTGATATTTCTTGTGTTTCAAACCTCTCCTTGTATTTGTTGGTCTTATTCTTAGAGCAGCTTCCTTTTTTCCACTGCGAAGTCAACCCACTCCAAAGAACACCTTGCTCTTGCGCTTGGCACTTATATGCATATAAAAATTAATAGACCACTAAAAGGAGTGGCGAACATACAGTTCATGGGCCTGATGGTGAATGTAGGAGATTTCCATCCATCTGCCAGATCCCTTCCCACACAGTGGGATTTCAGCTCTTTCAAAGCTTCCACTGGTGCCAATGGAAAGTTTTCTTATATTAAATCTTCTAATAAAATTGTAATGAGACAAACCACAGCAGAGCGGTAGAGCACAAGCTTTACTTGATTCAATCCATGTTGTCTCCAGTTCAAGATGGCAGGTAAAGTCAAGAATAGATAAATAAAGCTACTGCATAGTTAGTATAATGAAATTGATAAAAGCATACATATGAGAAATCTACATAACTTCAATGGAATAAGCTGTTATAATTTTTTATATATGCACAATGTACACACGTTATTGTGGATATATAAATGCATGTTGAAATGCAGTTCTGCGTAAGTGAAGGTCACCAAGCATCAATCTCATCATAATAAAGGTTCAGTGGCAAGCTCTATACATGAGTTGATCTTCGGGGAGAAGAAAGCCATACATTTTCCTACATTCGTCCATCTTCCTCAGTGGGAAATACATGTTAGATGAAATGTTTGAGTTTGAGCTCATATAATACCAAATGCCTCTCACCCACACCATTTGCAGCCTCTGTAAAAGAACATGAAGAACCACTGCAGGTCCAAATGAGTAAATAATTGGCCAACACTGTACAGGTTGAGTCTCCCTTTTCCAATATGATTTGAAACAGAGTTGTTTTGGATTTTGCATATATATATATAATATATATATATATATATATATATATATATATATATATATATATATATATGATACACACACACATACACACACTATATGGATTTTGGAATACCTGTATTTGCATATACATCCATAATGAGATATCCTGGAGATGGAACTCAAGTCTAAACATGAAATTCACTTATGTTTTATATACACCTTATGCACATAATCTGAAGATAATGTTATACAATATTTTTAAAAAAACATTTTTTTGCATGAAACAAAGTTTGTGTACACTGAACTACCAGAAAGTAAAGTTATCACCATCTCAGCCACCCCTGAAGAACGTTTTGGTTGTTAGAATATTTCAGATTTTGGCATTCTGGATAAGGGAAACTCAGCCTATCTAATTCTGGTATTATTGGAGGATTTAGATCTGGGCTTGAAGCATTCTGTAAGATACAGGGTCCTTTCCTTTTTCCTTCTTCCTGAAATACATCGGTACAGTGCAGAGGGGAAGGTTTACCTTCACTCTCCACACACATAGTCACTCTCCCATTTCTTTCTGTTAGTGTTTATGTGTGTATCTATCTATCTAGCCCTCTGTATAGGCCCATGAGCTAAGGTACCATTGCTGAGAAGGCCATGGTTAACACAGAGAAGATAAGCTCACCAGCTGAGCTTGCAGCCAACAAGCTGCACTCTTCCTTTGGACAAAGTACTGATGTAGAAGCCACATGGCACCCAGCTTCAATTCCAAGGCCTGCCCAGAGGGAGAGGGAAGGAAAGACCCGATATGATGTTCCAGGAGAAAGTGGCCATCTGTGCCCTCACACAAATGGGTTTTGCACCTGTGAAGAGACTCCATTGGGAAAACTTTAGATCTGAGTAGCCCTGGAAGTTATTCTGTGCCCCCTCTAAAAAAACTGTCATGCCTGAACCACCAAACTATCATTATTACTATAACTATTATGGCAATAGCAAACCCCCTCTGAAGAAAAATGCCAAGAAAACCCTACGTTATCTGACAGGCATCACGAGTGTCATTTTTTGCTTAAGGGAAGGGTATATAGTAGAAAAGTGCACCCTAGGTAGGTCCAAGATCTGGAGACAAGTGTAAATTACTTTTGCATTTGAACTCAGTTGGCAGCAATTATGGTAAGGTGAGGACAAAGGAGGAGGTAGAAGGGGGAAAGAGAAACTGGGACATTTTTAAAGCAGTTGAAAAAAGTGGGATAACAGAGGGATCGATTGGGGGTGCATCTACACTGTAGAAATAATGCAGTTCACAATCACCTTTAAGTGCTCCATCCTATGGAATCTGGGGATTTTTATGTAGAGAGATCTTGTAGCACCTTTGAGATTAACTGAAATAAGTTTTACAAGTAGTTTTACAAGGTCTTTACTTTCTCTTCCAAAGAGTCCTTGTGTCTCACAAAACTACTGATCCCAGGATTCTGTAAGATGTAGCCATGGCAGTTAAAACTGCATTATTTCTATAATGTATATGCAACGTTGGACTGAATCTGTCAAACTGGGAGAGTTGGAGGGTATTGAAACCTATCTGTAGACTCCTACAAGCTGCAGCTTCCTAAATCAAATGAGTTATTCCCATCTGGAGACCCTACAAAAGATATTCCAATAATCACTATACAGGCTGAAAGCCAAAATTCATTAGAAGAAATTAATACAAATCTGATGGAATATGAATTACCTCTTAGCATGAAATCCAACTTCAACATGATGATACTCAACCTATCCTTTCATTCGTGTTCTCTATTTCTTTATGACATCATTGTTTCTACCCAAGAATTTACAAGATGACTTCACAATATAAATCCACAGCTAGAAGGGAAAGAAATGCCTGCCAGAAGAAAACATGTTCACCTATCAAGGTTAGCATGAAGAAGAAGGGGAAAAGGAAAGATCCTTGGACTTATGAGGACCATTCTGGTTTGTGCAAAGTATTCATGGGGACACTAATGACATCTAGACAAAAGTGTCATTCCACATGGCATCTTTTTATTCCTATCCATAAATCCCATATTAGCATGTGCTTGAGAATTAGTGTCCTGTCTAATGGACACCTGTATTACCCACACTGCAGCCAAGAGTTTGGTACAGATATGTTATACCATCTGGCTTACATCCTAAACTATGCTGTAACTAAGACAGGGCAACCTATGGTCCAGTTGGGTTGCCAGGTTATTCCATACAACAATAGGAAAAAGAATCCTAGTCCAAAGGCTGGTCACTAACACAAAAGGCAGGACTATACAAGGCCTTCTCAAGTCTTGCAAGAGGAGACTCTCTTGCAAGATCTTGGTGTGCCTATGAGATTTCACTTGAAAACACATGCAACTCTCATGATGGCACACCAGCCATCTTAGGATAACAGGTTTACAAGCTGAGTCTCTCTTATCTGAAATGCTTAGGACTACAAGTGTTTTCAATTATTATTATTATTACTATTATGGAATATTTACATATACATATGCAAAGGAATCTTGTAGCATCTTTGAGATTATCTGAAAGAAATAAGCTGGTAGCATTTTCATGAAAGCTCATGCTACCATCTTCTTTCTTTCAGTTAGTCTCAAAGGTTCTACAAGACCCCTTTGCATACTGATTTTCCAGGCTAACATGGCTATGTCTTTGAATTACATATACATAATGAGATATCTTGGAGAGGAGATCCAAGCCTAAACAAGAAATTCACTTATGTTTTGTATATGGTATAGTGGTTTGAGTGTTGTACTACGACTCTGGAGACCAGGGTTCAATTCCCTGCATGGCTGTGAAACACACTGGGTGACCCAGGGCAAGGTTCACCAAACCTTGCAAGGCTCACCAAAACTGGGATTCGAATCCTAGTCTCCAGAGTCAAAGTCCAATGCTCAAACCACTTAACCCATGCTTGGCAAATGTAAAAATGATATAACGTGTCACATGGAAGGGATCCATGTGCTTTTTGTATATAGAATTCACAGAAGCACCATCAGGCAGTAAAGCATCTTGGACTGCAACTCCTAGATTTGGGGAGTTGTCATCTAAAAATGTAGCTTTTCCAGGCTCTGGTCCTAAATCAGATTCTCACAGCAGATGAGAAGTTACATATGCTCTTCATGCCATTGGTAATTGTGTAACTGGATCTTTTAAAAGAAGAGTAAATAGCAAGCACAGTGGAAACTTTCAGCCTTTTCCTTACCTCTCCCCATCCCAATCTGAAGCAGTTCCCAATCTTCAGTCCAGTTCCATGTCAACTCTTTATACTGGGTGGAAAGGTCCCACTGGTATTATGTCTAGTATAGATCTCAGATTGAGTCCTGTGATGTACTGAATTTCATGATCTATGCTGACTTTAGCAGATTCTCTGTGGGACTAAAAAGTCCCCAGGCATGCCTTTGTTTGAGTTGACTTTATTTTAAATGGAGATTACAGACCGGAAACTCTTCTTCCTATGGAATCTGCTTCTCCGAACAACTGCTTTGTGTCATTTCCAAAAACAGCTGGCCTTGAGAGATAGTCTAAACAAGGGCATCTGGTAGCCAGACTTGCAGGGGAAATCAGATTAGATTCTCACAACAGTCTCTTTCATTTAAGTTTGGTTTCATTTAATTTCTGGGATGAAATCCATTTCCACCGAGGATGCCTCCAGCTGGCAATTCTCTGCATGGCTGGTTGGAAGATTTAGCATTGAACTTGAAGGAGGTGTAAAATAATGCTCCCCTTCCCATCCACTCACTTTTCACAAGAGGTACAGTTTTTACGTGAGACACTCTGGGCTCTCTTGCACAAGCAGTTGGCAACTGTCACAGTTTAGAGGGACCCTTCCAGATCATGGCAATTTGTTTATGCATGCAATGTATATTACAAGTAATAACGTAAAGGAGAGAGGGATGAGACAATAGGATGTTGAGGATGAGTGGTGGTTAGTGGAACCTTTGGCTTTGGATTTTGCAGGGGAATCCAGAGCACTCTGTAATGATGCTAGGTGGCTGTCTGTACATGCGTCCCGCTGTGCGGCACCATGCCACCATCGCAGGCTATTACCTCTGAGATCAGGAGGAACCAGCCACGTGATTGATGCTGGGCACCTCATTTCGGACCCCAGAAGAGCCATTCGTGCCAGGAGTGGTGGTATATATGAAGACAGCTGCCTAGCATTGTTATGAAGTGTGTAGGTAATGGGGAAATCCAGGGAGCAATCTGGAATATTCTGGCAGGTGCAGATGTGTCAAAGAAGTCATGGCTCTGAGTCTGCAAGACCTGAGCAGGCCTGCAGATGATAAGAGTGACTTGAAGATCTCTCATTCATGGGGTCACCATACGTCGAAGTTGACTTGACAGCAGTTAACAACAACAGAAGTAGCCACCGGTCCTTAAATCCATCATTGCTCATTGAAGAAAGCAACTTCTCTCCCCCCGTGCTCATTACAGAAACATGTCCAGCCATCGGTTCAGCCAGTGCCTAGAGGGAAAGCAGTTTCCTCCGCTGCATAACCATAACATTATTGAATATTTCTCAGACTAATAGCAGCACAGGGGTGTACGCCAGACCTTGCCGCCTTTCATTGTATTTCCATTTCAAGTGGCCAACAGCTACTTATTTTGCTTCCCCTGTATCAATGGCTTGCACACAAGCATGCTCACATTCAGAAACACACCAAAGGAAGTAATTTCTTCTCTCGTCAACTGGCTGCAGGCTCCAAGCATCAAAGGAGAGCTTCTCTACCAGGTCTTTAGAATGAGTCCCACTTGGCTTCTGTTTGGGTTCCCATAATGGACATTAAAATTGGGATTTTTAACTGGGTGGAAAAAAGGGAGAGAACAGCAAATCGGTATTTTAGGACGTAGGAAATAACTGAATGCTAGGGAAGAATTCCATCTGTCTTCCTGCATTCATGTAGGGCCAAAATATACATTCTCTTGAAATAATGTCCTTTATATAATTTAAGATATGGATGGATGGAGTGGGGGGCAATATAGGGTTGCCAGGTCCCAGTGAGTTAGGACAAACAGGCCTTTTTTTGAAAAATATATACAGATTTTTTTCCCTTTTTACTATTATTGATGTATGTAGAAACACAGAGTCTTTCCGCCAAACCACTGAAGTGATTTACCATTGATCATAAAGGCTTGTTGTTCCTAAGTTGGGTGATACAAAAGGAAAATAGAAGAGGGAAGAGAAAAACAAGAAAATTCAGCTACCAACTCTTGCCACTCTAATATCATGAAGTTTTTATAAGGTTAGGTGGAATGGATGTTAGCAGGCAAGAAGTCTGGGGTGGGAGAGATGAAGAAATCCATGGAAATGGACTTGACAGATGCATACATCCCTTGATGGAGATATTTTAAAGCTCCATTCTTGTTGGGCAAAACTGGTCAACAGAGTTTAATCTGCCCAAAAGACACTGCCATGGTTGTTTTCTTTCCCCCTATCATCAAAACTGTGTTGCTTTTAAAGGTTATTTGTACAGTTCTTCCCACATATACACATTTTCGGTGCACGCGCACACACCAACGATTTATTTGTTTTAAAAATATAAATATTATGAGGCACCAATTTAAAAAACCAACCCACAACTCTCCTGGTAGGTTTGGATCCAGCTTGATTTGTTTTCAGCAGCTGAAGATTTTGTTTGATTTGTTTTCAGTAGCTGCTGCAGTTATTGTTTATTTGTATTATTATTTTAAGTGTGTTTTAAACTGTTAACTATTTAATAGTATTTTAAGGGGTGGGTGGGATTGTGGGATATGGAATATATATTTTAATGTTGCAAGATGCCTTGGTTGCATTACGCAGAGGGGTGGGATTATTATTATTATTATTATTATTATTATTATTATTATTATTATTATATTATTATTAAGGCAGATGCCAAAATGTTTTGATAATTTCTGTTTGTTCATTATTCAAAAAAGAAAAAAAAGTGTAAAAGCAAGAAGCAACTGTTTCAAGACATGTATATCAAATACAGTATTAGATCTTAAAAGTAATTTGTTATGATAGTTAAAACCCCACCAAATCTTATAATTATAAACTAAGGTTTCAAATACATCATTTAAGGTATGATGTGTATATATATATATATATATATATATATATATATATATATAATCCTATACAGTTTAAGTTGTTTGAAAAAGATCTGACCATAATGACCACTGGCAAGTTGGAGAGTGGACAACTATAAAATTTATATTAACATACTCAATAAAAGGAAGCCATTCATAAATTCAAAAAAGTTATTCCTTGGTAAAATACCCCTTGGTAAGTTACCAGCACTCTTTGGCAGAGAAGGCTAAAGACCTTGTAGCACTACAAATCACAGGATCCTATAGGACGGAGCTGCAGCATTTAAGGTGGTGTCAAACAGCATTATTTCTACAGTGCAGATGCACCCAACGAGACTAACTTACTTCTTGAGAGAGAAGGGGGAAATTACATCTTCAGGGAAGAAGGAAGCAAAAGGCTTGAACACATAGACCAAAGAAAGATATTTATAGTGGTGAAAACTAAGGGCAGGCATTATCTAGAGTCCCCGCTCTCACTTTATACAAGTATTGGTGCCTCATTGCTTCCATCAGGTTTATCATCTGTTTTAGTCTTCTTCAGGAAAATTACTATAAGCATGCATTTCTTTTTTGGGGGAAAAATGCAACCCTTAAATCCACAGCAGATCAAATAGTGTAGGACATATCAGATTCCAACTAACAAAGTAAACCTGCTTTGGTCAGCAGGTTCCTATTCACTTACCTGGGAGGAAGCCACTTTGAACTCATTGGCCTTTTATCTAAATTGCTAAATATAGGGGCCATGCTAAGACTTGCCAGTTGTATGAAAGCACCTACAGTATTAGCAAAACAATCCATATGTCACTGTTGTGCTGTTTACAATATTTGGCTCTGTTTCTCTTACAGCCATGATGGAAGACTTACACTATACGACAAATACGTCCCAGGTATGACGGTAAATAGCAGATGGGAATGTAGGGCTGCCAAGTGGTACTTAGAATTTTCTGCTCGAGAACTCTGGAGAAATGGTTCTCAAATGTTGATCCTCTAGACTTTTCAGTTCCCAGAATCCCCAGAGAGCTTGGCCAGTGTTTGGAGATTTGGGGAGCTGATGTTCAAACAGATGGAGGACCAAAAATGGGGGAAACACTGCTCTTGAGCTTTACCCCAGACTACAGCTCCCTAGAAGAGAATACTAGTTCCCTCACCAAACTTCAAATCCCAGCTTTCTTTAGGATTAAAGTGGAACCAAACTGGCCATCTGTCAGGGATGCTTTAATTGGGAGTTCCTGCATGGCAAGGGGTTGGACTGGATGGCCCTTGTGGTCTCTTCCAGATCTATAATTCTATGATTCTATGAATTGTGCAGTGTAGATACACTCTGGATAAGCCTGGAGCACATTTTAGTAGAAAGGCAGGATATAAATAAATAGAAAAGACAGAATGCCTCAATAGGTTTAAGTTGTTGCTTCAAAAATATGTGTTGTTTCCGTTTTATGTTTCAGATATTGAAAGTTATAGTTATATACAAAAGCCACGGGCCAGCCTAAGTTTTCCCCTGGATTTTTCAAAACCCGTACGACCTGGTAACAAAAGGAGATCCAAACCTTCCACTTTAAAGGCAAGGAGAATTCCTACAGATGTTTGAAAATATAAGCATTAAAACATAGAATGCAGTACTTGAAAGTTAAGGGAAATGCAAATCACTAGAGCATCTTATCTTGAAAACTTGTTTGGATTTAGGAATCCGGGTTAAATAATCTAAAGGTTTTGAATCCTAGAACCAGGCAACAAGCAACACTTGCAGAAATTGCCTCTTTTGCACAACTGTTACAGTTATAGGAGCCCTCTTCAGTTTTCACTCTGAGTGTGTATGCATGTGTCTTCAAGTTGTCGGTCGATTT